AAACAAAGGGGGGCCCAGCAAAAAAAGTTTGGGAACCACTGGTTTTAGCAATGGTATTTCCTTTTTCCAGTTCATCCAGATTAATGGTGTTTCTCACCAACAATACTTAAATTAAAATATAAACGGATCCAACAACTAGTTCGCCTGGTACCGACTAACCGTAGCAACACTTTGTTGACTAGTCGCACACATCCCCGGTGTTTTCAGAGCTCCTCCTGAGCTGAAACAGCTGCTGGGAACGAGGTCGATGAACAAACCGGTTCTGATCTCTGTGGGGACTAAACCTGAATCCTCTTCTTGTGCTTGTCTCAATGCAGCCTGTGGGCGCCGGCGTGGACGTGTTTGAGGGGAGACCCAAGCTGAGTGCGTGGCGGGACAGAGTCCAGGAAGCTATTGGAAAGGAGCTCTTCGATGAGGCACACCAGTATATCCTGGGAGCACAGGAGAGTGTGAAAAGCATGGACTCCAGCAAGATGCAGGTCTTCAAGCCCAAGATCCTCAGGCTCTTCATGTGAACAGGACGGCACCGATTCTGTGCAAACGACTTGGATTCATCTCATATGTGTCGATACAACAAATACACACAACGTCTTACATGTATGTCTGTACTAACAGGATAATGTAGTATGCATTCCAGATGTTTCAAGTAAACTCAGTACACTCTTGTTGCATAGTGCAGGGCTGCTCCATGGAGACAGGCAGACATGGCTCTGCAGACCTGATTATGTAACAGAGGAATGTGAAACATGAGCTTTCAGAATAAATGCACAGTTATAAAAGCTCTGTCCTCGTATATAATGAAGCTGCTGTTAATCTTCTTTCAAGCCTAATAAAGTGTCTGCAGCACTCTGTCAGCCTGGCTTCCTCCCTTTGTGTTTACTGTGTTGGTGCAGATCTGTGTGGATGTTTGCAAATGACGGTGCACTGCTGCCACCTAGTGTTTCATATTCACATGCACAGTAATCAGTGCAAGTGTAATACACAGACATACTGTAGAACAAACAAGACTTGTACTCACAAGCAGAGACGGCCCTTTCACGTAGAAATTGACTGTTCTTCAAAGATGGCCGCCCACCACAGCATGCTACTTTACCAGAGGTCTACACTACAAAGCCAGTTCAGTGTACCCAGGATGTCTTCATTGTCTGGATTCACTTACTCTAACATTAGTGGTCAGGATAATCTCTCACACAGGGCTGGTTATCAACCAGCTCGGTTCACCCAGGGTTGAAGAGGTGGGGTTGGCACCATCTGACCAGTCTAAAAGGGACATTTTGCTTTATCCACAGAAAAGGATCCTATGAGTCCAACCTACTCCAGAGATGTTAAAAAACCGATTAAAGTCTATAAAGAACTTAACAAATACAGCATTAAGAAAGAAAGGAGATTGAGGCGGCAGCAGCAAATCCTTATTATGGTGAACATCCACAGAGGGCTGGAAAGCAGTACCCACAGCACCACCTCAGTGGAAATGACAAATACATTTATTTGAATGTAATTTCCCCGAACAAATGCAAACAGCTGCTCCAAGGCAGTCATTGTTATTAAAGTACATTTATGGACGGTGAACTGAAGTACTCAAAGAAAGGATGTTATTGAAAATGTTCTTTTCATACATGGATATGTGTGTTGTTCTAAAATAAATAATAAAGGTGAGAGAAAGTCAAAGTCAGGATGCAGGTCGGTGTCCTGCAGGTTTTAGGTCTCACCCTGGGTCAACACACCTGAATCATATGATTAGTTCATTACCAAGCGAACTTTAAAACACGTTCAGGACAGCGGCCCTTGAGGCCTGGAGTTCCCCACCCCTGACATAAGGAAACAGTAAGAGTGGGTATGTGGCCAGAGTCCACGCTGTTGTTATAATGCTGATGTTTTACCTGCTTTCACTCATAATGATTTCACAGAAGAGCCAGAAATACTCTGCTTATTTGTTTTATTTATCTGCACAATCTCACGCACGCACGCGCACGCACACACACACACACACACACACACACACACACACACACACACACACACACACACACACACACACACACCTTCATACATCAAGCTACTA